CCGTAAAATTTCAGATTCCCAACTTCCGCGGTCTCCAAGATAATAATTTTCCCCACCGAAACTCTCGCGAGGCCGTAAGTGATACTTGAACGCTCGGGAAGGCTGAATTAAAAATTACAAGATTGTATGTGGACAGAAGAAATTACCATAAAATTTCGGCTCCTTGGTTCTTATGGCTTCCGAGATCATTCTCCGCCAAAATTTTCACGAGGCTGTGGGTGTGGGAATCCTGAATTCGAATCTGCGAGGTCACATGTGAACAGGGGGGCGTTATCCTAAAATTTCAGCTTCGCAGATCCCGCGTTTCCCGAGATAATAATTTGCTCGCTAAAATTTTCACGAAGCCGCTCGTGTTACCCGCCGGCAAGAGAAAGTTGAACTTAAACATTCTGGGTAGCATGTGGACAGGGGACCTGCCCACAAAATTTCAACCTTCTAGCTTCCGTGGTTCTCATGATAATAACTTAACCCGTCCAAACTTTTACTGGGCTGTACCTGTTGCCCGTGAGTACGAAGAGGTTGAATTTAAATTTGCAGCGTCACACGTGAGTGAAGGGCGTCCCCCTAAATTTTCGACTTTCTAGCATTTGTGGTTCCCGAGTTAAAAGTAGCTGACAAGTTGCTGCGGACACATATACACACAAACACACACAGACAAACGCGTGACAACACTTGTCTTGCACTGTTGTCACACAGCAAAAATTACACGAGAAACCTTGCATGTCGGCGAAAAGCAGTTCGGGACGTTCGTCAGATGGAGTGTACACTGTCGCCGACATATCAATAATTCTCTGGTCCAGCATCCTCGCACGCCGTCTCTTCACTGCCTCATAGTACAGCTTACTATCCCTTGATATTGCCACTTTGGCACGCATTGCTTTCTACAAGAAAATACGAAAACCCACTCTGTTGTAAATTAAAGCGCCACACATTACGTAAACAAATGAAGCAACGCACCAATTCCGGGGAATCGAGATGAGGGCGATATGGATACTGATAGTAGAAAGCTGCATTTGGGATCAGCTTTCGTCGTATACGACAAGGCCCTTCGGTCATGTCCAACATAAATTTATCCAAAGAAGAACCAAGCTCTGCTCCCCATATTCCCCGTTCTCTGGAACATGTCAAGTAAGCATTTTTCCATGACCTTCGTCTTCCTCAAAATCAATCGTGTAAGGGCGGGGAAGGGGGGGAGGGGGGAAACCAAAACGATAAACATAAAGGTCGACCAAAAAAAACGCGAAGTTCAGTTACAGGTGGAAAAGTCTCAATCAAAAGAGATTTTTGAAATAACTATAAAGCGCTCATTTGCAGAAAAACTACTAAAACGCATGAGTGGAGCAATTCTGAGTAAGGCAGATCTCTAGATCGGGGGCTGGCCATGTCGCTGTTCTCTGTCACAGCAAGCACCGCATTCTGCAGTGCAGATTTGTTAATTTACCTTGTTAATTCGGTCTCCAGTGAGCGCCAATCCTGCAAGCACCATTTCTGGACGTGAGAATGCCATTCATGGTAACAGAGGCACTGTGTGCGGACCAGCTCTCGGATTAATGATATATGTACGCGAAGCCACATCTGGACCACCTGCAGGATATCTCCCCATTACAAAATCATGCAATTTCTACTAAAATAGGCCTCACAACCACGATTTTTTCATCAAAAGGTG